CTGACCAGTCTCAAAATGATAACTCTGCGGGTCATTTATATTTACTTTGTCATATATATGGAAATTAATTTAAAATCTTATGAATTTAATAACAAACTCTTCATCTATATCTTTTTTTTAAAACCAACCTCACATAATATCATTTTTAAATAATGGTTACTTTTTTTTTATAAAACATGATATTTTTCAATCCAGTTAACAAGAAATAAACAAATTCTTTTTCCATCTATATATGCTTAAAATTATAATTCAATATCGGTATCATTTTGATTACTTTATATTTTATTATAACAATTTGTAGTGATCATATATCGCATAGTAAAATCCATACATTTCATCAATTTGTTTACTTTCCAAAATTTTGATAAGCAGCATTTTTATAGTACCTATCACCTTATCACTTACTTACTCCTGCCTCAAACTAAGCGAAATGACCACTGTTTTGCGAACTGATGTTTTTAATGTAATTTTTGGGTTAAATATATGTTTAATCTTTAGGCAAGATTAGTTTAATTTCGCTTAGTTTGAGCCAGGTATAAAACACCCATCCCACATAAATAATCCATGTTTTAAATGAAATGTATAAAAAGGAATACAATAAAAAAAAGTTAAAGATGGTCATATCTAGTAACTAACTATACCACTGAATTCTTTTCACTCAAATCTTCATAGATCAAATACAAATGCGCATCATTTCCCATACCTTATACTGGCCATATACATATACTTATAAAATCCTTTAAAAATTTACCAAAATAATTGCTAATTATTATTTTTTACCAAAAAGACAATATTATATATATACTTATACTTATTACTTATTACTTATAAATATGACCATTATTATATATATTTATACTTATTACTTATAAATATGGCCATTATTATTTTTAGATTATATTTATATAAAAAAAAAGATTACACAAAAATCAATAAATGTTGCTCGGTAAGGATTAGTGATTTAATAGTGCTTACAGATTGAGTGTTTGAGATATATTATGCCATTCAAAAAGAAATAAAAAACGTGGCCAGCCTTGTTAAAATAAGGGCGATATTTGAAATTATTTAATGAAATGAATCACAACTTATTTGATATTTTTTAATATTAATTGACGCAAAGATAGAATTGTGCTAATTGAAGAATATCATTTGAAATTCTTTATTTGCCAATCAACGCAGCGTCAAAATCGGGCAATTAGCGCACTATAAAGGTGGTTGTATTTTAAAATAATCTAATTGTTTATATCTTATGAATTGGGTTTGGGGATGGGGTGGCGTTAACAATATTTTTGAAAAGAAATAGGGGATGGTGTTATTCAAAGGTAGGTATTTTAGAATCAAACAATTTAAATACCTTGAGATTTTAAATTTAAATCATTCTATTTTAATAGGATGCCTGGATGGTTCTAAAAATGTACCGTTGCAAAAAATCTCACGTGAAAAATTTCAATTACTAATTTAAATTTTAATGTAAAAGTAAAATTTTACATTTTTATCAGAGACCTGCAGAATTAGGCACCAATTGCAAGGTCACCCGGTTTGTAAAATTTTTTTTGGCCCAGCTCGGAATTTAAAAGCAAATTTTGGTCCGGCCCGTATATAAATATTATTTTTATGCTGGGGTTAAAACAAAATTAGACCCTGGCTTTAAACAATTTACCAATTCAGCATTTTACGATAAGTTTTTCTATAAAATCATTTAATATTTAATTCAAAGATGAAGATTATTTTTCTTTTAATAGCAAAGAAAAAAATATATTTATGTTCATTTTTGGAAAAATGGCTATGAAATGGAAATATGAAAAGCCCCCGGCAAGTATACCCTGGCATGGTTTTGTTCAGGACATGCAGATCTCTGATACTAATTACAATTTTAATTATTTTTATAAAATATCTCAAACAAAAATCAATTTTAAACGTTAAAATAATCTGAATCCTACCTAAAAGTATTGACAATATTTAAGCTAATTTAATTGTTTGAATATTTAAGCTAATTTAATTATTTGGAAATTAATTAAAAGGATGGGAAACCCGAGGGAACCATAACTTGAGTAAGACCCATGTTATGATATTATATTAAGCATCGCACAGAATTCCTACACAGGAGAGAGGGGTGAGACGCAAAATTATCATTGAAATTAGAGGGGTAGGTAGTTCTGACGCTAACGTTATTGAATAAAATTGAAAATGGGTTGGAGAGTAATTCTAATTTGAAGTCCTTTTTCTTGTTAATATGATTTGTTAGGAAAGAAGGTTTGTGGAGGAGGGGGATAAATTTAGAATAGGAGGTAAAAATTTTATGGAATTGAGAAAACTTTCGAGGGATGTCTTCATTGGTTTAGAGTATAGAATCCATGACCCCACCCCCAGAACGATCTGCTTTGAAAACACAATGTGATTGTTTATTATATCAATAAATTTCACTTTAGATCCATATTTAAATTTTTTATCCCCCCCCCCACCCTCCCCCTTTTCTCGTTTCACCTATAACCTAGATCTGAAGATAATTATGATTAACAGAGCTATCAAAAAATATTTTATTTAAAATGTCAGGATATTTTGTTTAAAATTTTTTTTTCATATCTGAACCCCCCCCCCCATCCTCAACTCTCATAATTTATAATGGAGATGCGGATGATTGCCAAAATAGTCGAAAGATCTTTTTATTGTCGAGAAATTATGTTATAATTTTTATAGTTTATGTTAGAAATTTTATCCTCCTCTCTCTCCTAGACTTACCTTGAAAACATAGAGATGAGAAACAATGTAAATATATCCTTATATTAGCTTTATTTTGATACCTACCTCCAAATATTATCTTATAATTACCCCCCCCCCCCCGTGCCACCTAGCTCACTCGAGACGAGTGATGGATCGATGAATTCAATTCAATAATATATGTTTTAGCTTTCATTTGATAAGCCTTTTTAAATATCTTTCTATAAAAAGTTTTTACCTCTCCCCTCCCCTCCCCTCTTATGACCTAGACTAGTAAAGGGATAAACTCTTTTTATTATAATTAATTTGATAGTATTGTCTAGATATTTTTTAATAAAAAATTCCCCGCATAACCTAGATCCGAGGGCCATGTAATTAAATATTATAGGACTTAAAAACAAATATTTTATTTGCTTAAAAGGATATCTATTCCCCCATAACCAAGACCTGATGCCTTCAAAAAACTTTTAGTAGTTTTCATCTAAATGCCACGTAATTTTTGGAAACCCCCCCCCCCCTCCCATATCTGAACCCGAATACCTAGAGTAATAATTAATTTGATAACTAACACTTAAAAAATCATGGATATCATATGGTAAATGTTAATAGAATGGGGATTAATGGGTGGCCCAACTTCTAATAAATTTACTGCCGGCTTCTTGAAGACAAGTTATTGGTATACATTTATAATTTCAGAAAATATTATTTATAATTAATACTTGGAGGGGGGATTCCTCCCCTCTTGGGCTAATTCCAGGGCAAAACTTATTAGATAGTACAAACAATTTTCAACTTATTTTAGCATTTCTCTTCATAATATTATTTATTCAATTAAAAATTGATGTATTATTCGTATCCGTACGAATCGAATAATTGTTTATTTATATTCGTACGTATAAAAACATTATTCAATTTGATTCGGGAAGTAGATTCCATAACTATTATCAAAAATGAAAAATCAAAGTTTGAAAAAATTCTTAAATTTTTTTTGAATCAATCTTTGAATATATATTTTTTTAAAAATTTCTTATTTCATCTCTTAAAAATTTCTTATACATTATAAAATATTTTTTTAAAAAGTGATGTAGAAATAAATTTAAAAAAATGACATGCACAAATAATTTCACATATTTTTGAATACGTTTATACATAGTTTAGAATATTTATGATAAATTTTGAATAACATTAAAAATTTCTAATTATACGAATAATTCAATCGAATAATTAATAAAAAATTATTCGGCGAATAATATATTTCCCTTATTCGTATTTCAAAAATTCGAATCGAATTTTGTTATTCGTATTCGTAAAATACGAATCGAATTTTGTAATTCGTATTCATAAAATACGAATCGAATAATGAATAATTTTTTTTGGTATATTTCAAACTATTATAATGGGATTTCTTTAATAATATATTCGGGTATAGGTATTTTAATGCGTCTGTCAATTTAATCAACTCAGGTAAATATATGAATACCAAACTTACATTGTACTATTTATACTTTTGCCATGGATATGCTATAGGTGACGTTTTATGCTTACTCTTTTATAATATAAATAAACAATTGGACGGAGAATTCTTTTTTGAATATCATCAAATTGAATGACTTTTAATAAATAAAATTTAAAAAAAAGATAATAGAGCAATCCCATTTTACAGCACTCTGGAGGCTTCAGGCTTAATAATTTCTGCAAATATATTTTCCTTTCAATAATCATTATTTTAAAATTTTCACAATCAAGATAATATTTTAGGCTCGGCTTAGATTTTTTTAAAAAATATTTTTGGCCCGAACTAATTTTTATTTTTAGACTCTATCCTGAACAGATTTTTATTATTTTGCCTCATAAGTTTGGTTTTTTAAATGGGTTTAAAGGTAAATTCGATTTATGAGAAAATTAAACATCATAAGATTTTAGCCGATTAATGAATAAATTTATTTTTAATAATTTTCCCCGAATTTGAAGAAAAATAATATCTTTATTCCTATTCCATTTTTAAGTCGGGCCCTTTTTTTTATAAATCATTCAATTTTATAGATCGTTCTGGGCCGGGCATAAAAGAAGAATTGAAATTATTCACAATTCCAGATTATTCGGTTTGGCAAACATTTTCTTATATCTGTTATAAATAATTAATAAAAAATAATAATATAATAAATAATTTATAGTGTTATATGCCTATTTATTTTTTTATCGAAAAATAATTAATATTATAAAAAGATTGCTATAATTTTCTTAAAACTTTTAAACAGTTTTTCAAAATAAATTATAAAAATAAAAATTCAAATTTAAAAAAAAATAAATTACATACTATATACTACCAATACCATTATTATTTATACGAGCAAATGAATACTTCTGGTTACAAATATACATAAAAGAAACATAGTTATGAGAATGTAGAATATTCTTTTGAAAATTCTAATACTCAAATTCCTAATGGGAACCAAAAAACCAGAAGAGAATTTATATTCTGTTATGTACAACGATTACAACACCAGTATGCTCAGAGATCCTAACGACCTTTTCTGCCTGGACCTCGTCAACTCACTTAACTTAAACAGTTCATACATATATGAGCTAGCTAACACCACCAGTCTTATTAAAGAGTTTTTCTCGGGTCTCTACGGTCTAGCGAATTCCTCAACGTCATCTTCTTTGTTGATTAGATATACTGATAGAGATTCTTTCACGCTTTACAGATACAAATTAATCCAACTCTTAGCAAATCCCCAAGTAGTTGTCGTTAAAAATTCTCATTATTATGCAGTTACCATTGTTTTTGGTGCTCTGGCTATCCTGATCTCCAAAACGTTCGTCAAGTTAAGAAAAAAAATGTTCCGCGAGCATGTAAGAGAAAAAATATAAATTTTTATCTTGATTTGCATTTTTATTACTTGGGCCTTTTTCTGATTTCTTTAGTCATTGGTCTATAAACATGCTTTAATTTAAAAAGAAATGTTATATGAGTCTGACACTGCTAAGCAAAATCTATTATATTTTTATATAATATATAATTTTTTATTTCGATTATAAAGTTAAGGAATTCCATAATATTAGGATAAACTGATTAAAATAGTAAAGACATTTAGATATTTGAAAAATAGCAAAAGAAGAAAAAATTGATAATATGAAGAGGAGTTTTTACATTTTATAAGAAGTTTTAACCAACTTTAAAAGAAAGACAGCAGGCTAAGATAAATGTTAGTTGGTTATCTTTCACCTTTTCCATATGATGATTAGAATGCTTATATAAAGCTTAAAATGGATCTTTTGTTTATAATCAAACTTGATCAATTTGGCAAATTTGTTTGTCCATCCCCAAAAGAGTTTTTTTAAAAAAATAATACAAATACAAATAAATCCCGATTAAATAAATTTTTCTATTTTATTTTTTTTGTGAAAAGCTAATTAATTAATTTATAATCATGAGATTTTTTTAGTTGTATATTATTTTTGAAAAGTAGTGACAGCAACCACTGTTACCATATACCTATATTTATTAAATTATAACTGGGATGACCCGGGCTAATCCTAAAATATCTTTCAATATGTTCGGCCAACAAATATTTTAAATAATATGTAAAATGCATTTTTTTTACTTCCAACTTATTTTTCGGGCGCCGCTGTCAATATATATATCGAAAAATAGATTTTGGATTTTTTCATTATATATAAATATTTTATAAGTAGCACTTAACTGGACTAACCGATTCATATCAGGCTGTAATAACGCTCTCGTTTTGTTCGTTTTTAACTACTTTGATCTTGTAACAAAAATATTATATATTTTTTAACAATTATTTACCCCTTTCTATAATATTTTTTTTTTAAATCAGGTATAATATCGAGTTCAATAGTTTATATTAACTTAATTGGAAAAATTGCATTTTCAATATCAAACATATAAAAGAAATGGAAAGTTTGAAAATGGATATAAAATAGGAATGTCTAAGAATCGTTCTTTGTGCTCAGAAATATTTTATTGATGCATCAATGTTGATTTTCTGAAAAGGTAAAGCTCAGAAGGCATGTCTTTTCATATAATCTCTTTAAAGTATAAAAAATTTGCTTGAGTCTCATCACTAAAACATTCCGTTTGTAGCAAAGCTACTGTCTAATGTCACATAAAGCGCTTCCATTTTATAGCTTAAATAAATAAATCATAATAAATATCCCTTGCGGTTATTAACTTTTTATCTAGCATTGTTGTAGGTAGTACTGCTTGTCTCTGAGCACCATTGATGAAATATATACAAGCATTTTTCATAAAAGGTACCTATTTCTTTGTAGTGTACATATCCTGAGGGGGGGGCAATTTCCCTCCAGTTATTTTTCAGTAGGCGGACACTAGGAGCCTCCTAGGGGGTAAGGAGTAAAAATTATGCTTAGGATAGGGGTAAATCTTGGCACATTGCCTCCAATTTTTCCTAAAGATACTAAAATAGTAGTTGATAAATGCTTTTACTTGAATTGTGTGCCTTACCTAGTGCCTCATATGATCACTTTTTTAAATTTTGTATTGAATTAAAGAATGTGAAATTTAACATCCTCAAATGTTTTTAGGATTTAATCTAGTCGTTAGAAAAAATAAAAAATGCTAGAATTTGACAAAAAATAACTCAAGACCCAAGACTTATTGTTTAAATATACTTTATACAAGACAAGTCCCTCTCTTGCATAAATAAAAAATTTTTGTCTGTTAATTAATTACCCATTTTATAGAATTTTCTCAATGCCCCATTGGATTATCAATATCATGTTTGGAATAAAAATAGGTTACGACCTTTTATTTAGACGTACTCAAAATAAATTAGTGAAGTGTGGCCTTTAATTTCTCAAGCAAAATTAAATCAGTGAGTGTAAGAATACATTTTTAGCAGTCATTCGTAAAAAAAGGAGGAACGATCTAACATATTTCGTTAATTATATTTGTTTATTTTGATATTTATATAATTTAAATTTAAATAAAGATTTTAAAATATTTTTGTGTTTTGCATTATAATTTATGATTAGGGGAAAAATTTGAAAGGCAAACGTTCCACTATAGTCTAACATGGTGTAAACCCATCTAGCTAATTTTTGAGGAGAAAAAATTGAGGGTCTTTAGTGATTTTTTGTAAGTTCTTCGTATTGGATATTAAGTTCCAAATTTTTTAAATATATATGAAATTTTATTTAAAATAAGGAGACACACTTTTTGGAATTATAGGGATTAAATACGCGACAATTCTTTTGAACCCGGTATATAAAATAATTTACAAATCATATACAAAAACATCTACCTTATCCCATATCTTCAGGATTTAGATTTGAATGACTTTGTTTATTAAATTTAATTTTCATTAAATTTATTATTTTCATGAATTTAAAAATATATAATTGTGTATAAAAAATGCAAAATAATATTTATTTTAACATATAGGTATGGGGAGGAAGATTTAGTTTAGAGGTCTGCAAATGGCTAAATCTTTAGGCTCGGCACAGTTGAAATTTTACTTATATCCAGCTCGTTTCCAATTTTTTTTTTAAGGTTGCTTCGTCTTGCTCAGTTTTTTTTTACCGAAATATATGGAGTTGAACACCAAAATAAACAACTACTTATAATATTGTGGAGGGGTTAAATTAAAAGTGCTACACTTTATGGATTATCACTTCTATAAAATATCAGAATTCTTCAATAATCCATTTCAATCATTTGCCTAACCAGTTAATTTTCTGCCTGGCCCTGCCCAATTTTTCCCAAACGTTACCTGGTCTGGCCCAAGGACTTTGCAGATCTCTAGCTTAATATATTTGTATTCTAAAAAATTTATAGAAAAAGAATGGAGGTAGGGGATAGCCATAAATGGTCATGACGCCATTGGTTTCTGCAACTTACGAATTGAGTGATCTTATTATATTTTCATCATGCCAACGTGAAAGAGATCACTGAGCATATAAGAAAAAGATTACAGTGAAAGGGATTGAAATATGCAACTATTTTAAAATTAGAATTTTATAGATACAGGAGAGATTATAAATGGTCATTAGGTGAAGCTCAACGGTTATGTCCTATTTGGGATGAGGTTTGGCCCATTCTTTCAGTTCGAACTGTTTTAATATTTAGGTTTACCTTACTAATTAATTCATATAATATTTTATCTAATTTTCGTGTATTTTTTTTTCTTATTAGTTTTCTAGAGGTTATTTTCATTTTAGTGATTCCTTAACTTTTTAAATTTATTTCTTTCTTGCAATATACCATGAAAACGAAGGTCAAAGCATTTTACTTATATTCACAATAAGAAACACAGAATATGTGCTCACTGCAATGTCAAATTTAATGTATTAGCAACAATAATTTGAAATAATTTATATTTATTTTAAATTGTAATAGGTTCTTAAGCAGACATCTGATAAAGCATCAAATTTTTATCTTTTATGATAAAAATCTGGATGAAAATACCTTAAACATTTTAATATGACATTCATGAGCATAGCGCTTAGTCAAAACTTTTGGCGGCACTGGACAAAATATAATTTGGCGACCCCTTAATAAACAAAATTTACCTAAGCTTATTTGATAATTTTTCGCAATGAGAACTAAAAGTATTTATAATTTTATAAATATATTAATCATAAATGTGGAATGAATAAAATCATAAACTAAAATAGTGATGTAAAATTTGGAGTTTTGAATGTGAAAGAAATTTATTTCAAGTTTAATTAATAATTGATAAGATCAAGAATTGAGGACAGCAATTTAATTTATTAAAATATATAGTTACTCAATCATTATAAAATAAAATAAAGAAAACTATAAGGTAAAATAAACTAAAAATATAAAATCAAAATATAATGTAAAAATTATAAAGCTTTTCTTATCTTTTTTTTATTACATTTTTAATTTCATTATATTTGTACTAATTTTAAACACTAAAATTTACATATCTCTCTTTTTTTATCTTTTTACAATTCAATTTACTAACTCTAATGATTAACATTTGCATATTATATATCCTTCAAATATATTATAATCAATTAACATTTTTATCAAACAATCATGACAATTGCAATTTTATTTATCCTCCTAGCCTTTTTATTTGGAGGATCTTATGTAAGTATAATCTAACGACGAGGCGATATCATTTTCTATTAAAATTAAAGGAGTAACAAGTCGTTCCTGTGGCACACAGGATCATCAGGCCACTAAAAATCCTTCCTTAGTTGTTTAATTATATGTAAATTAAATTTAATATTATATATAAAATGTAAAATAACTTGTCTTTTAGAATATTTATAAATGAAATAAAATGGCAGACAATAATATAATTTACAAAAATCAATTCTTTTTTATAACTTAATTAAAATTTGTAATCGACAATACAAAGGCAACCTTAAGGATGGGTTGCGCTTACGTTTTTATATTAAAAAAGTACGGCAAAACGTAGATTCTCAATTTATGCCCATTAGGCAGGGATCCAAACCGAACCGGGACCGAACCGTTAAACCATTAAAAACCGGTAATTTTTTTCAAACCTAAACCTAACCGCTAAAATGCCTCTGAACCGGTTCGAACCTCATGATTTTATACAAAATAATGCTTAAGTTATTACTGGTATATTGCAAAAATTTTAATTATATTCGAATTGTTTTAATCCCATTTGATTGATAAGTGTCAGTCATAATTTTTATAAACTTTAGTATATTACCATTTTACAACATTTTTAAATATTTTAAGCTTATAAATTATAATGCTTATAGAAAATTAATCCAATATATAAATTATTTGCATATAAGTATTATAAATGACACATCAAAATGTAATATTATTGTCAAATAAATATGAAGGCCATCATAAATCTTGA